GGATCGCTTAAAACCGTGGTTCTAGATAACGCATTTCACTTCAGAATCATCTCATTGCGTTGTTGTCATCAACATAAAATACCGTTCGACCGCTATATTCCCAAAATCCCTAAGAATGTATGATGGATGTTTAGCGATATACGATATTGGGTATTTCTATTGCAAAATCATTGGCATCAATATTATTCGACCGCTAAATCATCCTGACATCCAATGCATGGTGGCTGTTTACAGACACCACTGCTCGCGTATCAGACGGTTGGTTAAAAATGGGCATTCTGTAGAAGGCCAGCTAACGCATTTCAAGAAGAAAGTTATTGTTTAGCGGCAGAACCTAACGCTCCTCCGGCTGGCCAGCTTTACGGAGCCCTTCCGTGTCATGCACGCAGGTAGTGTGCGCGAGCTTTAAAATAGTAGATTCATGAATCATATCTTGATGTTTTCACAGAATTGAAGAATACCCTTTGTGCCAGCGGCCAAGCATGTCCACTGCAGACTTCGCAGACTACACACCACAAGTGATGACGGTGTCTGGTGTCACAAAATGTAAAATTGTATCAATTGTCAATGATATCAAAATTATCCTACTAACTATAAAGCGCTTCGTCTGTCGTCTGTCGTCTGTCTGTGTGTCTGTCACGAAAATTCCCTAGCTCCTCGGGATCCGCCTGGAGGGACCGGGTCAAGTGTGGAATGGGTGGGCAAGGTCTCACGAAATACAAAACACACATCAGCTAACCAGGAATGGATGATTGGTCGAAGTGGCCATATGTAAAGAGACCTACACCGTTGGATGCGTTTTTGGACGCTGATCTCGAATCTGCTTTCCAAATCTGCCAAACGATTTTCCGAATGGAGTTATGAAGGAAAGTAGTGCAGCGGTAGTAGTCCGGGTTCACGTGCGAGACGTCGTAGGATCGATTCCCTGGCGGGTTCTCTTTTTTGCCTTCGCTGCAAAATGATGAAAAGGCTCCCAGCTACCTTACTCGATCAATGCTTGCCTGTAGTTACCCGTGCAAAGACTTTGCGAAGAGTTTCTAATCAGTTTCTGCGGTACTCACTACAGACTGCACATGGAGCCCACAGAACTCTTGGCAGACGTTTTTGCAGCAAACAAGTGTGATATTCGTGTTCCGGAGATTGAAAATACCCCTAGAGACAAGTTTGTAGCCAAATTTGAGATTTCGACCAAATTTCGAAATAAGCTGGGTGGGTATCTATCCATTCATCCATCAGCCTATTATCGAAGCCTACATAGCCTTGAAACGATATACGTTTTTTTTTGGTTTCTGAAGAGTGTAAAGCAGTGTCTGGTTTTCTGTTAGCATGATTTCAACTCTCACATTTTATTATTTTCAAATTTAAAGGGTCGCCGTCGTCCAAAATAGGTCAACCCTGGAACTACCGGCTATGGATATGTAGCATCAATGAGTGACTCGCCCACTTTTTTGAGATTAATTCAAAATCTCGAATTTTTCTAGAAATCGGCCCCAGGAGTTATTGGACTACTTGAACACAGATCTCACATTCGTTCACTCAAAAACGGCTGAAGCGCGCGCTCCGTATACTGGCGCGCCTTAACCTTATGTAGTGGCATGCAAGTTAGGAAAAATTTCGAAGTTATCGACCTCAAACTCATCCAAAAGCAAGTAGGGCTGACCAATGATGAAGGAATCATGTTTCACTACTGCCAAATAGTCAGTCACAAAAATGCAAAAGGAAAAACACGGGATCCGAACCACTGACCCCGAAATCCCAAGCCCACCACCTTAACCACTAGGCCACCAGCACTCGATCGAAAGGCTCACTGCTTCGTTCACAAGCCGCTGCTGCTGAGGCCGATTCTCACTGTGTTAAACTGTGTGAGGGAACAAAAAACCTCCGTAACTCCGTTCAGCGAATCGTTTGGCAGATTTGGGAAGAAGATTCGAGATCAGCGTCCGAAACCACATACCATGATACTTGTCTCATTTCATATGGCCACTTCGACCCTTCATCCTTCCCTAGTAAGCGGAAGCCCGCCCACAGAGGGCGTGGCGTGCGTCGAAATGAACTGTACCGAAGACCAAGATTTCGATTTCAGTGACAAAACGACCTCGAAACTGGGCCAAAAAGTGGGTAAAGGTGTGCATTGGTAAGTCACATCGAATTAGGGAGACCCACCCCCGGTGGGCGGGGCGTTCTCTAAAAAAGCAGTGCTTTATGAAAAAATTTCATAACTCGGTTGGGAGAAAGCCTACAGAGCAGAAAACAATTTGGTGTAAGGGAGCAATGTCTAAGGTGTTTCCTGCATACATGACGTGGGCGGAGGCCCGCCCAGAATGGGCGGGGCGCGCTCTGAAGTGTACAGCATTTTCTACAAGCCCTCATAATTCGGGTCGGGGAAGTCTTAAAGAGCCGGAAAAAGGTGGATAGAGGTGGGTGGAGGAGTGGAGGCCAGCTGTCATCGGTGGGCGGGGCTTGACCAAAGTGGGCGGAGTTGCGACGAAAATTCATAACTCGGCTCCAAGAAGTCCCGGAGGCGGAAAAAGGTGGGTAGAGGTGGGTGGAGGGAGTGGAGCTTAAATACCATTAGTGGGCGGAGCATGTTCAAAGTGGGCGGAGTTATCACGAAAATTCATAACTCGATTCCAAGAAGCCCGGGAGACCGGGAAAAAGGTGCATGGGGGTGGTTGAAGTAGTAGAGCTAGAATATTATTGGTGGGCGGAGCAAGTCCTAGGTGGGCGGAGTTACCCAGGAAAATTCATAACTTGGTTCCAAGAAGTCCTGGAGAACGGGAAAAAAGTGGATATAGGTCAGCAAAGAAAGAGAAGTTAACTGCTACGGTTGGGTGGAGCGTGCGCTAATGTGGGCGGAGTTTGCGCCGAAATTGTAATTCGGCTCCAAGAAGTCCCGGAGGCAGGGAAAAAGGTGGATGGAGGTGGGTGGAGGAGTGGAGCCCAGCTATCACCGGTGAGCGGGGCTTGACCAAAGTGGGCGGAGTTTGCGACGAAAATTCATAACTCGGCAAGAAGTCCTAGAGATAGGGAAAACGGGGTTAGAGGCTTGGCGAGAGTTCCCAGAGACCGGTGAAAAAAGGGGTAGAGGTCGGCGAAAGGAAGGGGGCCAAATGCTATTGGTGGGCGGGGCACGCACCGAAGTAGGCGGAGTTTGCCACGAGATTTATTGTCCGGAAGCAGTCCGGAGACCGGGAAAAAGAGGATAATGGTTGACGAAGAAAAAGAGGTTGAAAGCCGTCGATGATGGAGCGGATAGAATTTAGCTGAGATTCAGATATTCGTGGTGTATCAGCCAAAGGGCGGAAGTGGTGTAGTGACAAGTGGCGCGCTTACCACGCGAGCGGTCCGGGATCAAATCCTGGGTCGTGAGTCGCCCGGGCCAACCAAGCCTTCCATCCCTCCGGGGTCGGTTAATTGGTACCAGACTTGTCTGGGAGGATAAAAACACTGACTTGTACATCGGCTGGCCCCCGCAAGTCATTGTATAGGCCACATCGCATTCAAACGCCACTACGAATGTACAAATGGAAGTAGAATGCGTGCCGCATCCCAAAAGGGATTGATCAACGGCAAATGCTTTATCCTTTATCCTTTTATCCCCAAATTTTGAATTTTCGATTCGCACATCAGAATCATCCAAAGATCTGTGTGTGGCGCGCGCAAATGCGGTGCGGGCCCGCCAAAAAATTGGCTTCAAAATATAAACACTAGTTTTCACTCGATATGGCTGTGACGGAGGCCTCATTAGACCTATGAAATATGTATAACACAAGAGAGCACACCAAAGGTTTATTTCAAAAGAATTCCAAGTTTTAAACTTGGTTTTCCACTAGTTTTCAGTTTTATTCAAAACCCGATGTCATTTGTGTAGTCTGCAATAGAATTCCCTAGCCACCGGAACGAGATGTAATACGCTTCGATTCCGATATCCAGAGGTGTGTCGGGTGCGGACCATACTTCACAAGTGACAACCATTGGTAATTGCAAGTTTGTGACATATTTGAATGATGTTTGAACACTTTCATTGAGCGGGCGGGCGGCAGCCAGAGTGGCAATTTTTATGTCTTCTATCTCCATATACGACCACTCGAGAAACTCCTCCCCACTAAGTCAAGACACTAAAGTCTCAAGTACTTAACAATACGAGAGAGAATGGAGAGCAACAGTTTCTAGTCAGAGTAATTAATTTGTGCAAAATCTTGCTTTCACTAAAAATAAGAAAATCAAGGCTTTTTAGTGCACTATGAGGATTCTACTAGAAGTCCTACTCGTGGCTGTACACGTGAGCGCTGAGGCTTCCGAACTCGAAAAAAATGGCGTGATCAAAAGTCCTTCGGAATCTAACTGGAATAAAAAATAGGAGCAAGGCAGAAAAGCTCATGAGACGCATTGAACAGGTAGGGCGCTTCCTTTGAACAACGGACTAGGACTAAAATGTATCTCTCGCTGATTTGCCTACGGATCTCGAAAACATGCCTGTGCTCAGGCAAAAGTTGAGCGAAGCGCAATCACACAAAATACGTTTTGAGTAAAGATCAAGAAGAATTTCTGGCAAAAATAAAGGTTGGTGGGTTTATCACAGAAATCAGTAGTAGGCAAGTGTAGGTTGAACTTTGTAGTCGTTGAAGGAGCAGGCGCCGCGAATGGAAGAAGTCAATTGAGGACGTCAACGCGAAAAGCGGAATCGTTAGGACGCTTTTGTTTCCAGGGGAGAGATGCTTCTTCAAAGCTCAAATGTTTTGTTCCTTTTTTCGGATATGGATGCAAAAATGTGCACTGCATTCAGAGAACAACAAGAGCAGATTGTTGCGGATAGTAGCAGGGGACCGATTTAAGCGGCAAGCTCACAATGATGAAACTTATCCCCGCCAAAAGATGGCCATCACTATGACGTTCTTACGCACTCGATCGCAACTTAGGTAAGAAGCCCTTACAAAAAATGTTACAAATTGTGTTATTTACAATGAACAAGAGAGTTTTCGTTATTTCGTTCAGATAAAATGGCAGAAATTGCCTTCAGAAGAGCAGCGGAAATATGGACGAACAACACCTGCATAAACATCACCTTAGATAAAGAGGAAGAGGGTGAAAACGAAGTACAATGGAATATTAGCAGGGTTCTGCTTGATGTTAGTGTTTCAGCTGACGAACTCATTCTTGTGTACAAAGAATATGGGTGTTGGGGAGAGGTTGGCAAACAGGACGGATGGCAATTCATCTCCCTCGGCGAAAACTGCGAAACGGTAACGGTTAAAAGAAGCTTCGAAAAAGGTCGAGTGCTCTCAATAACAATATTTTGCTGGAAAGAAGCACTAGGCAACTTTTAGGCTGCTACTATTACTACTTCATTTCTCACACTGCTTCAGATCGGAACAGCTGCTCACGAGATTGGTCACGCCCTTGGATTCTGGCATACACATTCAAGACATGACAGGGACCAGTTTATCACACTCTTGGAAGATAATGTTGAAGTGAGACTCATAAACTGCCTCAAGGTACTACATTATCATTAGCCGGTTGAGGATGGCTGGAAAGGCGAATTCGACATCAAGTCGACGACAAACAACACCGACTATGCTTTACCATATGACTATGGTAGTGTGATGCACTATGGATCCACAAGGCAGGTTTACCATAGGAACGTGGGGGGTCAAATAGGACAAAACAAGATTTTGTCTTTCTTAGCGGCGGCAAGAACACCACAAACGGTGGAAAACTTACTACTATGATCCCTAAAGATGTCCTCTACACATACACTCTAGGATCTCATATTGTTGCGTTTAGCGACCTGCTCGCGATGAATATGTACTACAACTGCACAGGTAGTCATCTTCTCTATCCCATACTACATATTGAGCAGAACTTGACTGCCCGTAAAACTGTTTTCCAGATTCTTGCAAGAATGAAACAATGTGTGATAATGGGGGCTTCGCCCACCCGCGTGACTGCTCTAAGTGCATCTGTCCCAGCGGGTACGGTGGACGACTTTGTAAAGAAATGGTGAATGACTTGTGTAGCTTTAGTGTGCGCATTTCTTCAAAATTTCTATTTAGCCACCAGATTGTGGCAAGGAATTAAACGCCACCAGCAATTGGACACAGCTTAAGCTAAATCTAAGTGAGGAAATGGATGGCGGAATCCAAAGAGACGGTTACAAAAGATGTAATTATTGGATTAAGGTACGTGACATTGATGAAATGGCTATGTTGGTCAATATCACAGGGTTCCTGGGCTTCATTGTGTT